CCATCTAGGTTGGACCATTGCCCAGAACAAAGACAATAAATTATACTTTGCCCCCACCAATACATTTACCCTCCGACCCCCAACTTTTCATCGTCCATTTCACCGTCCAAGATTGACAACACATAAATGCAGGAGCCGGGGGCTTTCATCGGTTTTACCGAATCCCTCCCGACAACCAAAAACAACCAAGACGAAGCATCTGTCGTGAACACAGCGGATGCCGTTACCGTAAACCTTCCCTCGGCCCTAGGATAATGCAAAGGTCGACGACACCCCCTTGACCGCAAGAGCAAAACGGTTACGTGTAAACAAGACGACGACGACGACGACGACGACGACGACGACGCCGGCGCACGGACTGGTAGAAAACGACATTCGCGGGAACCGAGGAAAAGACTCGCATAATCCGCCACACGCTGCTTGAACTATCTAGGCTAGAGGGCAAGAGGATTTTCACACAGCCATTCGCATCGACACAACCTATGCCCGCAAGAAGCAGTATCTACGCTACCGCCCCTCTTTGCGAAAGCAGTTGAGCCATTGAGTATCAACAAGAAATAATCATTTTACTACGTAGGCCGCAGACAAGTCTTGATCGAAAATCAAGGGTTTAACCGGAACGTATCGCACCGTCTGCCTCAGGGCGGGAACCCCCCCCCCCCCATGGCGAAGCAATTCCGTACTTGTAGCACGTAACCGAAACAAAAGAAGAAGGGGTGGCTTCAAACTACTGTAGGTCGCCCGCAGACAACTAAGTGTACAGTTATATAGGAATGTGGCCTCCCGCGTACATCATGAATTCAAATCTCCATGCCACAGATACCCTGCAGTACTTACTCCCTGATATCGATCGCATCACGTAACTATGTTACAGCCAATGTTAGCGATCGTCGAAACCATACTAGACTTTGCCTAAGATGTGCCGAGGTGGCTCGCGCTAATCGTTATGTGATATGTGGCACACAAGCTTGTGATTCGACCCACCAACGATTAGCACTCGCTCGGATTGCTGCCGACGCCGTTAATCTGGTCGAAATCGCTGTCGGACGTTACACAGGTATCGGAGAAACTCATGTCGAAATCTCCGTCGATATCGTTGTCCTGTGGGGGCGAGCGGATAGAAAAGGGCCACAAAGAAATCATGGGGGTCCACAGTAAGCGTCCTTTGCTTCTCTAGCACGACGTTGAGCAGAAGAAAAAATTGAAAGGTACGTACAAGGAAATGGGAAGAGGTTGGTTCCGTGTGCGGTGAAAGCGATGAGTTAGGGCCGCTTCGTGGAGCACGAAATAAAAAATTACCCGGAGGAAGGACAGCTTTGTGAAAAACGAGATCGAAACGTACACGGGAGGTGCGAATAGAATGGCTCCGTGGGAGGTGAACGAGCCAGAAACAGTAATCACGGTTAAGCGGGGGCGCACCAGGTTTCCAATCATGCCGGCCGGGAACGTGATCGCGAAGAAAACAATTGGGGCAATCTTAGCGGATTGAGCACGCTCGCGGCGTGTGTGGACGCTCACGTTGCGAAAGCGATCCGCCGAGCACACAAGGTTAAGCAAGAAAAAAAGGAGGGGGCTACTTCAACATACTCAAGAACTCGCTAGACGGCAATAACAATCCGAACCATTTCATTCGAGAAGCAACTGTTCTTGTGCTCAGCAACAACCGAGCAAAAAATCTCAAGCTTGTTTGCATATCTCCACAAACTATTCCAATCCCCTCTTTTCCGACCCCCACCTTGCGCCCGACCTGGGTTCATACGGAACAACAAAAAGACACGCAAGAGGATACCTCCCCCCCCTCCCGCCTCCCCCCCGGTGTTTGCCATCGGGGTTGGGTGTTCTTCGCTTGGCAACGACGTTGTAAGACAAGCCAATTCACTTCGTCAACTCGGTAACCAGGTTACCTTTCTTTTTTTTTGGCGGTAACAATAATGGTGGTCGAGTAGATCATGTTGTGCGGGGTGGAAAATCCTCACTCCGCGCAAGGGGGATGATCGCACCACGTTGTGTTAAAATGGTCAAGCACCCTCGAGGCAGTTACACAGTGCTTACAACTGTCTCTGGAAGTGAAAGCACCAGAAAGTAAATTAATTCATACGCAGCTGTCATCCGTACGCAAGGAAGTAAGCACAAGATGCCGAACACCCCTAGCAGGATGCAGCGCACCCTTCATGCGACTCGCCAAATACCTCGCGGCTTTTTGCGCCTGGTGATGTGAGAGCCTGGTCCGGTGAGAACCCGGCGTGCTCCGTCCCCGGCTTTGTAGGGATGCGAGGTCAACGGTCTAACGACTACGGCATGCACGACTATGAGTACACCCCCCTGACCATCGGTCTTGTGGGAACATTGCTCCGTCCTGTCGAGCACGCAATCAGTTGCGGCTGCAACACACACTAGCACGCCGTTCCCTCCCTCACCCTCCAGACGAGCCCGTCAGAGTCCCTCCACTCGTTGTTGTCGGTGTCGATGAACGTGTTCCCGATCAGCATCGTGTCCCTAGTCTCAGTCAAGGACACCCCGGTGTCCGACCGTTCCAGGTAGTTGTTCTGGAAGAGGTTGCCCGTGCACATGCCGTCAGTTGCGGCGGAGGCCTCGACCTCGTCGGACCCAAGGTACATCCAGATTGCCCCTGTAGGGTAACCGAAAAAATACGTGTCGGGGAGGGGGGCGGGGGTGAGTGAATGGCTGAGGCCTATCGGTTTCGTCGGAACTCAGGTACGTCCAGATAGCCCCAGAAACATGTCGGGAGGGGGGGGGGGATTGAGTGAAACGCTGAGGTCTATCGGTCTCGCCCGATNGGGGGGGGGGGGGGGGGGGGGGGGGGGGGGGGGGGATTGAGTGAAACGCTGAGGTCTATCGGTCTCGCCCGATCTCAGAAACATCCAGATGGCTCCTGAAGGGTAACCGAAACAATGCATGTCGAGGGGGTGGCATGTGGCGATGGATAACCCCAGCGTGACATGTTCCGACAGGAACAACCACGGGGACATGACCACCAATCGGCACACACGAACACGCGTAGACAAGTGAACACACAGACCTTGACACCATGCGCCATAGGAAGAAAACAAGAAGTCACCCGTCGGCACGAATGCAATGCATCGATGGCTGATTCACTCACAGCACCGAGGAATGAAAGGAGCACGAGGTAATCATCCAGGGCCTGGATTATTGTGCTGCCCCTTTATGAAAGGCACACAAGAGCACAGGGACTCAATATCAACAAATAACGGGAAAACAAACGAAAACAGCCCGCTCTTTGAAGAGAAACACGCCACCAAATGGAAAAAATCACAACCTTCGCAAACGGAAGAAAACGCACCCTGTGCGACAGAAACGGAATACATTCCGCGGAGTTGTGATCAAATGCATCCTACGATAGTGAAACGGAAAACGTAGTTGAACAACGGCGAGCATTTTGTTCGGTACAAGATGGAAGGAAAAAACACCAGCAACCAGCTTGTGGAATGAAAGGCACCCCGCAAACTGAACACAGCAAGAAGTGTCAATGGACGTATCCAAATAGGAATGAATGGGGCGCACGGTGGCATATCTGAATAATCCACATGATCCACCGAAGCCGAACGAAACCGATTCCGCGAACTGGAATGTTGAATACGTCCCGCTAAAGGGAGTGAGTGACCCACATGCTGTCAACTTGTCATGACGGACTCCGTCCCATACGCACGGAGGCGCTCGCTACACCAACAAAATTAAAACGGCTCCCTCTTGTGAACGACAAGAACATACACGAATCGCGGATTACTCGCGTCCCTTGTCTTACCGCCAGGAGCAATAAACCAATCGAAAGCGGAGGGTTCTAGACTACCTGTCGTTGATTGGTTGACGTGCGGACCCTTCGGGTCCATTATATTAGTATACCTCTTGGATAAGTTAGCCTGTCACCACCGGAATCGACCGCGTCAAGCATTAGACGAGGACGGACAGAAGCAGGGTTCTAGAGAGATCGGAGCAGTTTAGTAATGTGAAGACAAACAACCACAACAACAACAACGACAATAGCAAGAACTGCAAAAGAGACATGCACGCGAAGGGAGATTGGCCCAGCCCCTTGCCCCACCGCTACGAGTAACACGCCAAACAAACGATAACACACAGGCCAGGGTTAGGGTAGGGTTAGGTAGAGTCAGGTAGGTAGCCCTAACCCCAACACAACAAAGAGGGCACGGACAGGCACGGAAAACCGAACACCGGGAGGTAACTGCGCCCCGCTGACGACAGCCGACAAAACAGGCGCTACCACCCACACTGAGGCATGATGTGATAGCAGAACTCACGCCCAGCGGTGTCGATGACTTGGTTGTCGAAGATCTTGTTGTAGGACGACCCCATGGACAACCGGATGCCCTCCTCGTTGTTCGTGCAGAGGTTGTCGCTGATCTCGATGTCTACCACAACGCAGAACGGGACAAGGGAGGGACCGTGTTTGCGTCGATACTCTAGCTGGTACTGATGTGCGGTATGAAACAGTTGAGAAAGGGTACAACGAGAGAAAGGGGGGACTGAAACTAGGGGCGGGTGCGGGCCCTGAACTGTCGGTGGAGGTGCTCTCGTTTACGCCAGCCGCCCATCTTACGTACGGCATTGTACTGTAGCGCAAGAAAAGAGCACAATAGGAGCTATTGTAGAACCACAAAAACCATGAATCGACGTCACGTGCAATCTAGAGGTGTACGAGCATCGATATCACACAGCTGCAGCCTACCGAAGGACTCGAAGATGGCGATGCAAGCGCTACCGGAGCCGGAGACGGTGTTGTTCCTGATGATGCCGTCGTCCGAGGAGCGATGGAGCATGATGCCGTGGAGGGCGTTGTCATACACCACGTTGTTCTGGATGGACACGTCGTTGCACCTCTTCGACGCGATGATACCGTGGTTGCCTGCAGCAGCAAAAGAGCAGAACCGTAAACAAGGATGAGCAACACAACTGCAAGACAAAAATACATCAACACTAGACTATACAACCGTAGACACAATATCTGTAATTGGGGGCAGGCACATACCTTGTGTGACAGTTGTATATGCCGGCAGAAAAACGTCGAGAGGACGCAGCCGAGACAGCATCGTTCGTTGCGGAAGCTCGACCGATTCTTCCGGCCATCGGCCGCTTTTCTATGTTTTTCTACCAAGGCCAACCCCCCCGAAGAAAAGCAAGAGAGAGAGAAATCCGTGGGTTGTCGCAATTTCCACGCCGAAGATAACGACAAACCACGAAAAACAACTCTCTACATCAAACATTAGACTACAGGCTTTTCGGCATCAGCCTTCGCCAATCGCAGCCGGAAAACTGCTCCTGGAGTGAAAACACAAGCACGCCGCCGTAAGAACCGGACGTGATGTCTACCTACCACCGACGGCTCCTAGATTTACCTACAGTAGTAGCTGTCCAGCTGAAACCAGGGGTCATACAGGAAGAGAACGAAATGCCTATGCAGCTGCGTACGTTCTCACGCTGGTTTGCATCCCTCGCCCCTTTGAGAATTTCCCACCTTCAACGCTGGTCACCTTTTCACTTTATACACGCAAAAACACACTCACAACGTCAGCATACGATTTACAATGCAAGCGCCTTCGTGGCTCTCCTTGAAGCCCCCGGCCAAAGAAATGCGCGACGTCGAACCTTGCTTACCGTTCTCGTAGACGATGTTGTTGTGGATGCTTCATCATCGCAACATGAAGTTGAGGACGGTTCGGGATGTGTCGGCAGCCAAGAATGCGAAGGAGCGTGGGCGTATATAGGGTGCAGGGGAGGAGAGAAGACGGCCGTGAGAGACAGCAATGGACACACACCTAGGAACGGCCAAGGCACAAGCCACGACACATGCAACACGACAAAAAGCGAACGACACTCCCCACTTGGCGCCGGTGGTGAGGAGGGAAGGGTGGCAAAACAACAGGGGAGATGTACACGAAAAACAACTTCGGCCCAAAGAAAAGCAAGCCAAATACAAACATGGTGCAATGACACGCGTCGTCATGGATGAAGCATACATAGACAACCAGTACGTAATTGTTTCGTGAATGATACACGAATACATCCACACACACAACTAAACAGGGGGAGATGAGCCAAGCCTCACACAATCGATCAATCGATCCCACTTCAATGATCGCTGGTAGTAGGTGTCGCATTATCATTGCACGGAGATACCAGCGGGAAGAATGCAAGCACATCACACCAATCGAAGCTCACCGTAAGTTGTCAGAATCGTCGTGAGGGTCGAACCCGTATTGCCTGTGAGAGCGCAAAAACGGCCATTCGAACAGAAAACAAGAAAGTTTTATGGTCCANGTAAAAGTTGCTCGGCTGTTGTTTCCGCACCCACAAACTTGTAGACCTCTGTCGAGTAAATTTTCTCCCTCCTCCTCCTCCTCCTCCTCCTCCTCCTCCTCTTACGCTCTCGCTTCACGGAGGAGAGACGATGACTGAAGTGCCGAAATCTGCCGCTATTGGGTAGTTGTCAAGGAATAGCAACGAAAACTTTATGTTTCCCTCGTATGCGTACACACCCAATTCAGACTTTTAACCCCAATGACGACCGAAGCCCCCTCCCCAACCCCTCGGCTCCCACAGCTTGCACGAAACGCCTAAAAACGCCGCCTTGGCTATCTAGCACCTAGCTCACCCGCAGTTGTGCATGGTGTTGTACTCCCACAGCCCATCCTGATGTCCATACGAGTAGCTGCAACAGAAAAAAAGAAAAACACCAAGACAGGGTTTCGAAAATGTCGAGGGGGAATCTATACGGGGGGAGGGGGACCAGTTAGTCCATGGAACGCGTCATCGTAAGGGGGCCTCCCAGCGGTGGAAACCATGGCCACGGTGGTCGGGAGGTGGGGGGTGCTCCATGGTTTCCACTTGGAGGGCCCGTGGAGGAATGACGCGCCGGTGAATGGCGAACAACCGCGGCCTTCGCCATAACTACCAAAAACAAACAGCACCAGCGGGCATGATCGAATGGACACATCACCCAGCGACGGCGGTCGCGCATCAATACAAAAGTGAATATCGGCAAAAAGGGTTGTGCTTGGCGGAATTTGTCTTGGGTACGATTTGTTTTCCCTGTCAATGATTTGCTTTTCGTTTTCTTGATCACAAGTTTCGGCTTTCACGAGAATGCGGCCAAGAACACGGCAAAACACCAACACGTCAACGCGCTCAAAAAGTACCTGCATAGTCATGTGCACGTCATGAAAAAAAAAAGAAGGCGCAACGCAACCCTCAACGGCTGAGCACTGTCTGCCTGAATCAGCATCAAGACCACCAAAAATAACAGGGATATTCATGTCGTACACAAAATCCATATTAACGAAAACAACAAGCCCAAAGTACTCACTGTCCGAACCAGTTGTGGTGTATGTCCGAGAAGCGGATATCTCCCCTAACGTTAACGCGGTCGAACACCTCGGGGTTGGACTCGTCCGTGCAGTACCCTCGCACCTGTGGGCATCAAGAGGTATCGTTCAGTGCTTGTACTTCCTTAACACTTGTCGTGTGCTCTTGGTAGTTATTGTTGTCGGTTGCTCGCTTCGTCTTTAGGCTTGCTGTTTTGATGGCTCGCTTGTCGCTCGCTCTTGATGGTAACTGTTGTTGTTGCTTGCTCTTGAGGGATGATGCCATTGTTCTGCTGTTGGTGCTTGCTCTTGATGGCTAATGTTGTCATCTTCTCCTTGGTCTGTCCCCCAGCCAAGAATCGACCAACCGAAATCACCGACAGACAGAAAAAAAAAAATAGTCAAGCAGCAACCCATCTCTCAGCGAACCTCCGCGAGCGTTCGAAAAGCCTTTTTCCATCGAGTTCAAGTAGGTCACACCTTGTAG